ACATAATCCTTTTTTTCTCCAACATGTCCAGTTCTAATGCTTGCTGTCATTGCCCCTAAGCCTAATGATTATTTTGGGGACTTCCTCTTTTCTTCCCCGTGGCTTTGGCACCTGCCTTGTGTTCATTAGCATCTTTACTTGGTTCATGAAGAACTGCAGCTAGCTCTACCCTGGAGATTGTTAGAGAGGACTGACCAAACCTAAGGTGGATTTCTGTCAAAGTGGTCTGAATGTGTCTCTTTAGGACATGCTGCTCAGAATGCAATCTGTGACTTCCCACGTGAAAATAATGAGCAGTTCTGTCCCAGCAGTGCCTGCCCTCGGGGGTTCATTAGGACACCAGCTTGGTGAGAGTCCCTGCGGGGGTAAGTCTCTTGTCCTTTGTCTTTACGTTTCTCCGTGCTCATGCTCCATCAGGCCCTAAAGCCCATTAGCCTCCTAATCCACATCCTGTTTTGCTTATTGCGTTATTAATAGTGGGCTGGGAAGGAATGAGGAGCAGATGTTGCCCAAAAATGGCAGCAGTGTTAGAGGAAAGGGGGAAGGAAAAACAGTGTGTTCATTTGCTACGTTTATGGCATAGTGTTTGGTGGAAAACCTTCCCAGAATTCTGAAATGAGGAAGGAGCAGCAGAGCCATCAGCTCATGCCACTCTTCAGCTTGGTTCTTCTATCCCTTCCTGGCTTGGAGTCAACCAGGCTGGGCCACCTCAGGGGTATCAACATTTTCCCATACTAAGAAGAATTAGTAAAGCCCCAAATCCATCACAACCGATGAGTGACCTTTAAAAAATGATGCTTCTCTGCCTCTTCTCACTGGAAAGTGATGCAGTTCACGAGACCAAGCCAGCAGGACTTAAGGTGGTGTTCCCTCATTTGCTGCTTGTTAACCTCTCCTGGCCAAGAGGTCGTGTCCCTCGTGAAGCAACAGATGGGACACAGGGTGAGCACCGCCCATGGCAGCAGGGCAGCTGGGAGGGCTCCTGCAGATGGTTTGGGGAGGAGTTTGTCATATGAGAGAGTGCCCTGCGAGGGGGCAGTGTCCTCGTTAGGAGTGCTGGTGAGGTACCACACAGCACAGCTGCAGGGACATCTGCCTGACCCAGTCCACCAACATCGCTGGCTATGGAAAACCTGACCTGCAGGGTGGATCAAAAATTTGCTTTTTGGCATCTGGGCTCTAGGCTGAGCGAGGCATAGCATGGATCTGCGCTAACCATCTCCAAGTCCCACCCTACACCGCAACGTCTCTAATTACGGGGAGAAAAGTCCCAAACTGGGAATCCACTGCTGAAATGAGAGCCTCCATCAGGCCTGACTTTACTCTTCCACTTGCATAGATGAATCAGAAGTGTCAAAAATGTCAGCCCATGTCCTTAGCCTAGCAAAATGGAAACCATGCCTTCTTGCAGTTGCAGCCACAGACTGCTCTGCAGTACCAGTTGCTTGCTTTGCGCTAGAGGAAGGCCGTGCTTTTTAAATGCATTTGGGTGAAACTTTAAAAGCAGAGGGTGTTACATAATAGGTCTTATACATTTATATTTTATTGTGAACCTGGATACCATCACTGCACCTTCTGCAATCAACCTGTCAAGGTCCCTCCAAGTGAAGAGAACAGTATTGATTCACCAGTCAGCGCTTGGCACCGGTAGGTTCATCTCTGCTGCAGCCCACAAGTATTGCCTTTGTTCAGCAGTATTCAGGCTCAAAAGTAAGCAGAGAAGTCAGGCACTTTGGCAGCTGTAATCAATTTAAAGAGCTTCCTAAAACAAATACTTTCACCTGATTCTGAGAATTATTTTATCTCTTAATAGCTTTGCCACTGTGGAAAGAATTGAAATTGTAGTTGTTTACAGCTGTTGTGAAGGCTGTAAGAACTACACCCATACATTTCTCCATGGGATGGGAGTATGCTTTGTGATACCTACTGTTATTCTGTGATTTCTTGAGAATTATTATTGTTTATATATAATAGCGGCTAGGAATACCAGTCATATGCAAAGATCACAAAGGCAGTGTATAAGTACGTGGTCCAGAGAGCTTACAAACAAGCTACCATTACTGATTCATATATTAGTTCAAGCACAATTGAATTACTCAAGTTTAATGGGTGGTATTCAGCTGAGCAGCTGAATTATATGTCTTCTCTCAAGGTTGGTTCAATAAGACGACTGAATGGAATTAAGAGCTCACTCTTGCTGAAATGAGCTATCTGTCCTCCTTTCCCATCCTTTTACAGAATCACAGAATGGTTGAGGTTGGAAGGGACCTCTAGAGATCATCTAGTCCAACCCTCCTGCTCCAGCAGGGACACCTAGAGCACGTGGCACAGGGTGGCATCCAGGTGGGTTTGAAAGATCTCCAGAGAAGGAGACTCCACAACCTCTCTGGGCAGCCTGTTCCAGGGCTCTGTCACCCTCACAGTAAAGAAGTTCTTCTTCATATGGAGATTAAACTTCCTGTGTTTCAGCTTACACCCGTTACCCGTTGTCCTGTCACTGGCCACCACAGAGAAGAGCCTGGCCCCATCCTCTCTACATTTTCCCCGAGGTACTTCGATCAGATCTCCTCTCAGTCTTCTCTTCTCCAGGCTAAGCAGGCCCAGCTCACTTAGTCTTTCCTTATATGATAGATGCTCCAGTCCCTTAATCATCTTTGTGACTCTTCGCTGGACCCTCTCTAGAAGCTCAATGTCCTTCTTGTACTGTGGAGCCCAGAACTGCACCCAATACTCCAGGTGCGGCCTCACCAGAGCTGAGCAGAGGGGCAGGATCCCCTCCCTTGATCTGCAGGCAATGCTCTTCCTGATGCAGGCCAGGATCCCATTGGTCATCTTGGCCAATTCCTTTCCCATTCCTTTTTCCCCACAGACCGTAGCTGCTCTCTTCCTTCTCTTCTTTTTGTAAGTTCTTATCTTCTGGTGAACTGCTCCAGCTCACTACAAGAGCAGATTTTTCTTTTCTTTTCTTTTCTTTTTTTTTTCCTTTTTGTTTCCTTCTTTCATGTCCTGCTGCTCTGGTGAGCTGAGTCAGCTTCCCGAGGGGTCTGCTGAGTGCCAGAGCTGTGGAAGTGTGGGGCTCGGAGTGGAAGCGGAAGAAAACCAGAGAGGAACTGCCATGAAACCAAGCTGTGGCATGATGAGACAAAAGAAACTGGATTAGAAACCTTGCACAGGAAGAACCAATGAGGTATGAAAACTCCTAGGAAACATGATTCAAGGAGAATCCCAAAGCTACAGGCCCAAACAATCCCTGAGCTTGGGCTACATGATGAGTAAAAGAGACTGGCGGTGAAAGCCTGGAAAGCGAAACTATTGTCCTGGCTTTGTTGAGCTTGAGCTGATTGAGTGCTGAACATACACAAAGAGATGTAAAAAAAAGCTTAAAAGTGAAAATCATATCTTAGGAGTCTTAAACACTGATTATTTTAATAGAGAAAAAAAAAAAAAGATGAAAACCTGTCACCCCCCCCCCAAAAAAAAACCCAAGACCTAAACCTACCCTGCTAGAAAATCCCTGAAGAATAGCTAATCAAAAATGTAGGATATTCTATGTCTTTTGGTGTATTCTTCCAGATTATTTTTGGTAAAACTTTGGTCAGTAGAGGAGTACCTCATCACTCCATCTTTTGTCCAACCACAAATAATTACTTGCAGGACCATTTAGATTATTTAAAAAAAAAAAAAAAAAGGCAAGGAGGGGAACAAACCATTATAACTCAAACCATAATACAACCTGAGAGAGTGGGATTAAGAAGAAACCCTAGGAGAAACACACACTAAAGTACCTTTTCCAGGCTTTGTGCATGTTTTCCCTTTTTGGGGGTGGCTTTTTGGTTTTAGCTCATGTTGGAAGCAAGACCTTGGGCATCAGCTGGCCTTTCTTTCCTCCTAAAATAAGCACCGTTCTTTCTCCTCAGTTTTCCGCGAGTGCTGTGATGAGCTATCGCAATCCCAAGACTGCAGATACCTTCTGCAAGACCCGACGGCCGCAGCACCGCTGGCAGCCGAAATCCCCGGGCGAAGCAGCAGGCGCGGACCCTCCGCGGGACACCCCGCGCACTTCCCGCACGCCGGGCGCGGAGTAGATGCAACTTAAAGATCAAAGGA